TATATATATATATATATATATATACTCTTTAAATAAATATTCAAAATCAATATTTTATTTTACTCTATGGTCATTTGATCATTTGGTATATTTTTATTAATTAAAAAATATTATTAAATGTATTATTAAATTACAAGTGTGAATTTATTTTTAGTATGCAAATTTAAAACAAAATGGAAGATTTGCATTCATAGTCCGAAATAAACTCAGAATTAACTAATGCTTTTACAGGCATAATTTTGTCCAAGCATAAATCCTGTTTTTTGGTTTGCCTGGAAAAAAAGGAGAAGCAGGGGAGGCAGTCATAGCTAAGAGATATGGAGATGGGGCCACTGATAGAGGACCTCATAGAGGCTCCAACAGTTTTGGGAATAAATGAGAGGAGAGGTTCAACAATCCTGCACATAAAAGAAGTACAAAAACTACAATAGTTCATATGAAAGCTAGATTAATGTACTAGAACAGCCAAGGTAAAGTCCAAACAAACATTAAAAGACCCCACAGCTTTGGTTGCAGGGATGGCAGGCTTTAAAGGGTCTTACTTAAGTGTGTCAATAAAATAATATTGACTAAGCAATGGTTGTCCGGATTTGGAAAAAAACACTAAAGGTTGATCTAGCTTTGATGTAATGTCCCTTAAACAGATCTGAATGAAATTCAGTATTGTGCCCTCATACCATCCTCATGGAGTCAGTTTCTAACAGTTTGTGCAGACACATGCACATTTGTGGCCTGCTAGATGTCCGTATGCAGGTCTAACAATCCTCTGGTTCCTCCTTGCAAAAAGGCAGAGGTAGCGTTCCTGCTGCTGGGTGGTTGGCCTCCTACAGCCTCCTTCACGTCTCCTAGTGTACTGGTCTTTCTCCGGGTAGCGCCTATAGCCTCTGGACACTTCGCTGACAGTCACAGCAAATCTTCTTGCCACAGCTCATATTGACGTGCCATCCTGGATGAGCAGCACTTCCTGAGCCAACTGTGTGGGTTGTAGAGTAGAGAAGTGGTCTGAGGTCCCCACCCACAGAACCGCTCCTTTATTGAGTGTCTTGCTAATTGCCAATAATTTCCACCTGTTGACTATTGTATTTGCACATCAGCATGTGAAATTCATTGTGTTTCAGTGTTGCTTCCTAAGTGGACAGTTTGATTTCACAGAAGTTAGATTTATTTGAAGTTATTTTGTATTGTTTACATACCCCTTTTATTGTTTTGAACAGTATATTTATTATTCCTTCAAAACATTGTGAAAAAAATTACATATCTTACATTAAAGACACTTTATGTTCCTGTTAAGACATTCGTTATAATTTTACCAGCATGAAAGAAGAGAAAGGAGATGTTTAACTGACCCTAACATCTGGGCAGGCAAAGAGGAGGCTTAATAGTGACCAGATTTGAGGGGCTGCTGGAGTACAATGAGCAAATGCTTCCAAACTGACCTCTTAAGACACTGAGTCGAGTGGTAGCAGTAAGCTCTCCTGCTGAGTTGGAGGCATGACATTCATAAATCGCCTCATCTCTGGGGGTCCTCAGTGGCTGGATCCTCAGGACAGAACCCGACCCATCGTCAAACTCTATCACCTGGTAATGTAAAAAAAAGAATAAATTCAACGTTCTGCAAGTTTAATGGAATTAAATATTTAGCTTATTCAAATGAATTGTTTGAGAATAAAGCAGCTGGTAATTTTATTCCTACAATCTGATTAAATATTTCAGTGACACAGCCGCGACACTTAGCTTTTCTCTTTAATGTTTTCAAACTATTTTTTTACTGAAACAACTTTAAAAACCCTTTTCCCATCATCCTTATAAAGAAAAGTACATCAAAAAAATTCTGGGAACCTGTAATCATCCACTGTTCTGGGTAACTTTATGGGGCAGAAATACATGGAAATGACTTTCGCCCATTTATTGTGTTCTTCTTGAATATGCAATAATTTGGGATGCTTTTAAAAAAAAATAAATATATGCTGCATTATAACTGCTCTTGCATAAGCTTAATACACATGTAATTGATCTGGATTCAAAATTCTGGGACATTTTCTACTGACGGAAATCCAATAATGATAAATCCCATAACAAGTCCTGCCCAGCAGGGCAGCAGTGATGACTCAAATTTCATAAAGGTCTGGATTAAAAATAAAAGAGCTGCTCTAGTGATTTGGTCATAAACAAGAAACAAGAGAGGCTAACTTAAACCTGCAACTTACAGTCGAGAGCATCCTGGGCACAGTGTGAAGGGGGGGTGGGGGGAGGGGTGGGGCAAAGGTTGAATGCCTTTAGGAAACTAATAAGGCTGAGCGTATAAGAATCTCACAGACTGTAGCCCAAGGCATCATCTGACTTATAGGAGAGTTGAAGAACATGGCATTTCTCACACCTGTGCAACCTTTGAAGTAGAAAAGCAAGAAAACTGATTGCATCTTTTGAGCTTCAAAGCACACCGTTTGTGACTAAAACAGATCTCTCAGCTCCCAGTGCTAAGCTAAATATCAGCTGTCAATATTACAATGTATTAACTATTGGAATTTTTCATGATAAATAAACACTATCATATTTGACCTATCATTCAGAATTATATTCTATTTACTAAAATAGGTCTTGATAGACTTAATTATGAATCTCCATCATAAGGTTTGATAAAATACAAAGTTTAAAGTATTTTGCTCTTGATGACATCACAAGGGGCATATGATCCATAAGCATTAAGGAACACTGTGGGGGACTGATTTTGACAGATTCTGAGCAGTTAAAGTGGCATATAATCCACGAGCGATTTAACCCTTCACGTTTAAGCTAGAGTCTGACTTTCAAGTCTCATGGATGCTGTCATGGATGGTAAAACTAAAGAGAAGAGCAAAGATGGCAATTCTGATTATCAAAACATGAATAGTAATATTTATTCCTTATTTATTTATCTCAGTTTTTCCACCTGGTAGTTTTTTTGTTGCATCTTTGAATGCGGGAAACATTCAGATAAGTTTTCAAAAACCAACTTCTGACTGCAGAGAAATGGGTTTGTTTCTGCATCTGTTGTGAGCAGTGATGGTGAGAGAGGAATGGACTTCACTATGGCACAGACAGGCTGGGAATGGGTACTAAATTCAGTACTTTTGTAAGTAATGAATTCTGTCATTGCAATAGATACCTGTTTACGTGAAACCAAACAGTCCTTTGTTTTAGTACCTAAACTGATCATTGATACAGAGGGAATGAAGGAGTGGGTAACTTCAACACTGCATAGAACAGGCAAAAGTGTGATGCAACAGAACCCACTGGTACAGTGAATAAAGGAAGGATGGCTAAGCAAAGAGCTCCAGAATATGGCTCCAATTTTCAAAATGCGATGCAAATTACACTTCCTGTGATTTTCGCGGCCTATTCTGCAAGGCCAGCGGCGGGTGCATTACTAATCTAAGGAAGCACCTGGTTAAGCGCACAATTTTTGTCATGGCGGAGGAATGCACAATTTTTTAAAGCCTTGGAACTACGGCTACAGCTTCTGCATTCAGCACCATTAGCATGCCTGCATCTTTTAGAACTTTGTTCTCTGTAGCAGGCAACCTGCGTGAGGGGGCTGCATAACAATTAAAGATGATGTTAGCCTCACCGATTCTATAGTAGCGGGAACCGTTATCAAATGTAAACGGTATCTTTCCCAAGAAGTGGGATTGTGATGCATTTGTGTCCTCGATATAAATTATTTAATCAAGTGCCATCTAATGCAACATGTCTGGAAAATCATCTCTGCAATCACCATTTCATATGAATGTTTAAAAAAAACTTTTCTTTAAATTATCACTTAATGTTTTAAGTGAAAAGATAAAACTTTGTGCTCTGATCTTTTTATAAAAAGTTCTTCCATTTGTTTGATCCTGTTCCTGCTAATTTTTCCTGAAATCCATGGAGTTCTCCAAACAACTCATTGACAACAAATCATTGAAAGAGGAATTTATTAAAACACATAAAAAGGAGAATAAAACAACAGAAAGGAACTGGGAAATAGAAATAAAAGAAAAGCTGTGACTGTTTTCCTGATGTGCTGTAACTTGAGGGATATGTGTGTGTGTAGTTGTATATGTTACTTATTTAGAAGCTTTTTTGGTATATTTGCTGACCTTCTGACAACCAACAGGCATTACAGGGACCAAAAAGCTGGTCCTAATGTGGCAGATCCGAATGTTTTCATGGTTAAGGATGAGGTTATTTATTTTTAGGATGAGGTTATGGTTATGGTTAGGTTTGTATTGAATGCAAGCTAATTTAGGGTCTAAACTCTAAAGTTTAGGTTAAGTTTAGGGTTAGGTAGGTGTTGGTAATGTTTAGGGTTAGGGCAATGGTCACGGTTAGGCCATATGAATTACTGGGAAATTAATAGAAGAAGAATAATAGGAGAACAATTCTACTTTATTTTCATTACAATTGTCACAAGTACAAAGCAATGAAATGAAACCTCTGCATTTAACCCTGTATTTAGTGTGACACAACGTGTGTGTGTGAAAGCTTGTTTCTCAGAGGGCAGATTTAAAAAAGAATAGAAAAACAACTAAGAGAAACTACCATGACACATTTATAGACTTTTGTCACCGACTATATCTAAAGGGAGTTTGGCTGATCGTACAAATAATTCTGGTGACCAGCTTTATTAAGATAACTTTAGTTATTAGGGTTTTCAAAGATTTAGCGTTAAGTATCACAAAGCAATAGCAAAACATATGGATCATCACAGACTATAGGCTGGTATGAAAGAAGACGCTCTTTCACTAGAGTGAGTTAGAGGAGATGGATATGTCTCCCATGCCCAGCCATTAATCCATTAATTATGAAGCTACAGCCCGGAAATGGTCAGTTCAACCTGTAATAAAGTCTCCAGTAAACAACAGTCCAATCAATGAGCTTCTGTTTTGACCTCTGTCATCAGATGCTAACCTGTATATTTAACAGCGATAGAAGACGTCACAATAGCGTGTCATACCTCAAATCTCTGGTTGCTGACTTTTTTGCCTTTCTTATTCCAAACAATCTTGGGCTGTGGATCTCCTGCTGCCTGGCATACGAAGGAAGCCACTCCCCCCTGCACTCCAGTTTGGTGCTCTGGAGTTCTTGTGAATCTAGGTGGAGCTGTGAGGGAAAGATAATTACAAGAATAAGTATGGAAATATCTGTAAAATGCAATATGTAAAACATGCAAACATGGTGTGTAATTAATGATATACGTAAATACATTACATGTATAATGTAGTTCTTATTTCTGGAAAGCCGAAGTGTCAAATACTTCCTTACCTTACTTAAGTAGAAGCTATCTATACTTTATTTTATTATGTTTAATTTGTACTTGTACTTCTTACAGATTAAGAATAGACTCCTTAGTTTTGTTACATGTAAGCTACTTTTTATCATGGCCTTTTGATATATAAAAAAATATAAAAACCATCAAAATAATGAGTTTCATTAGTTTCATGAGTTTCGACAATTAATTTCTTTGAGGTTGGACTTGGTACTGCACCAACTTGGTGTTCACTACATGCCAAAACAAATTGTTTTTCAAGATGATGCAAAGTTAAATTTGGGACTTTTGAAAATTAAGCATAAGGAAGTTAACATCCAGAATTGTGGAAATTTTTTTCTTTCATAGGTTCTTGCGTTACTTTTAGTTTTACACTTTAAGTAGGATTAAAAATGGTACTTTTAGACTTTTACTTGAGTTAAAAGTTGATACACTATCTTCTACAAAAGAGTTTTAAAACAGCAGGATTTATATTTCTACTTGAGTAATAAAAATTAATACTTTTGACAACTCTGTTGGAAAGGTTTATAGAGAAGTGAAACGTATCTAATCATACCCCTTCTCCTTCCTATATGCTGTAAAATACAACAATTTTCTGAATTTCTACTTAACCATTACTTGAGCAAATAAATACATTTATGCACATATAAACATGAATATACACATTAACATGTGCCTGCACACACCTTCATTTATATAATTGTTACTCATTGCACACGACTTGACAATTGCAAAAAATATGTATACACATCTGTAATACCATCACAATAAACCTGCTAATGGTGGAGCAGAAATATATCAACTGAGTAAGGACCAAAGTTTTAACATAATAGTTTATAAAAAAAAAAAAAAAAACTGAATTCCTCTAAAAATCCTGATGGAGCACGGAACAGATTTGTGTCACACTGTCAGTCAGATAGGTGAAAAAAAAGCCCATATTTCTATCTTACAACAAGGAAAAATTCAGCAGTTTGAAATATATTTCAGTTGTAATACCAGTGCTACCGCCACTCACTACACTTAGGAAGAGTTCAGGACCAATTGTCTTAGCTACCTCCAGTTTACTGTAATGCAACTGTTTTGCAGTTAGCTAAAATATATCACTTGTAATTTATGATAATTATGTACTTATAGATACGTTTTTTTTTAAGCTTGGGTGTCTCCATGCTATTTGATACTATCCTTTAATTCAGACAAAGATTTACCTGAAACTTTAGTGGCTAAGTGTTAAAGATTGATTTTTCCTGCATTCACTGGATTATTTCTCAACAGTTACCAGCAGATGGGGAATGAGGGCAGCTGTGGATGAAGAATGGAGATTTAAAACAAACATTGAAAACACTGCATATGTCTTCTTTTCACTTGTGCATAACAGGCCAAGGGGAAAGAAACCCCCAAACCCAATGATTTGGATATGAACCACCAAAGAAGCAAAATATGATCAGTAATATTGAATTATTTCAGGAACGCATTTTAAAACACAACTAAAAATTCCACAAAAAAAAAGAAAGAAAGAAAAGAAATAACACAACCAGTCCTCAGTGGTTTAAAAGAGAAACATCATGATTTTTTTTTCATTCCTGTTTTCACAAATAAGTCAAGACGTATCCTTTGTTTTAGGGAAAGTTTGGATCTATAACATTTTTATGACATAATGATCAATATATATTATTGTAATTAATGTATGAAAACATTTTGCTTTTCAGGTTTTAGCACAAGAAATTACATATATAAACCATGATATCTGGAAAACATTATACTGTAATATTGTTGTTGGTAAGCAATTAAAGATTACAATTAATCCCAACTTTTCATTACATTTAAAAACTTTTCTACTATCATATCTCCTTCGCTCAGCTTTAGCATTTCAGTCACTATATATTGCCTGGTTCAAATGGCAAGACAATTCTGGGGAATTTTGACCTGATCTTCCCCTTCCGACATTCTTAAGGATGCTCTGATTATCGTGATGGTCTAAGGATAATCTTATGAGATAATCCTGCTGTGTGTGCAGTCTGCTCAGAAGGGTGTTGGAACTGCTCTGACCTCAAATCAGGGATATTCAACATGTTGGCTGGTCCCCAGAGGACAAACAAGGACGCAGCCTGTTGAATATAGTCAATCAGAAAGCAAGGTGATGAAAACACAGCGACAATAAAACAAAAACACACACCGATATCAGTGTAGCAACGAGAGCCAGTCCTTTATCCAATACCTTCTCTTTGTTTAATTTTCTTTCTCTGTTAAAATTGATTGAGATGCAGTGATCCTATACCTGGATCGGATAACAGTGATTTGATATCCAATCTAGTCCAATCTTTTTTTTTTCTGCTTATTTGTTAATAAATTATGAAAAGTACATTTATATCTGTGTTAATTTGTTACCTTTTTTTGACTATGTTTTTATGTTTTTAGTTTATTCATTTAACATTGGTTCATTCTTGGTGAAATCTTTTTGTGTGTGGTGTGTTGTGCTCACCAAGCTTGTACACCTTACACTGTAGGGACAAACCCGATTTATCAGGGGTCTCAGATTTAAAAACCTGACATACAATTTTAAAATCTTTCTGCATGAAGCAGGTATAATTTGTTTGTATCACCGGAAATCCAATCAACTGGCCAATAGGGCTGAATGAGTTCGCCAAAAATAAAAATTGGAATTTTTTTCTAACTCTATTTTTGCATTTGTGGTTTTATTTTGGTATTCATTTGCACACAAGCACATTAGATGTTTCACTTCAGGCTTTTATTGTTATCATAACATTGAAATCTTGCATGTAGAGTCCAATGTGATTTCAGTTTTACTGTTGTGTGGCAACGTAATGACTACTGTGGGTTAGCTACAAATCAATTTCCCCTTTTGTGTGGTGGCAATCCCACTTTAAACTTTAAGCATATAACTGCAGCCTAAAGCCCAGGAGTAAGAAAGTCAGTGTTTTACTCTTGTTTTATGTAATAAACCAAATTTGAGAACCTCTGCAATTTAAAAATTACAATTATATTGCTAATACAGTGAATTGCCAAGGCCTACCAGCTAAATGTATTATTGGAGAGGAGATCATGAATGCAGGAAGCCAAAATTACAACAGAGTATTAAATTACTGCTTCAAAGCAAATCTTAATACTTAAAGCATCATGCACACTAAAGTGTAGGTCTAAACTTGACATGTGTATATGATTTTGTTATCATATCTGAACATATACCATGATACTGTGACCCAAACAGTGACAAATATATGCTGATCCTTTTATCAACTGAAACTTCGGGTATAATTTAAAACAAACATTTTTGCTGACAAATCTCTCTTTGGGAGGCTGCACAGTGACGCAATGGGAAGCACTGCTATCTTGCAGCAAGAATGTTCCGGGTTCAATTCCCGGTCCGGGGTCTTTCTGCATGGAGTTTGCATGTTCTCTTCTCCCTGTGCATGTGCGGGTTCTCTCTTCCTCCCACAGTCCAAAAACATCACTGTTAGGATAATTGGCTTTTCTAAATTCTCCTTGTGTGAGTGGTTGTTTGTCCTGTCAAGGGGTGTAGCCCCCGCCCCTCGCCCATTGGCAGCTGGAGATAGGCATCAGCACCCCTTGCGACACCAGCAGAGATAAGTGTGACGGAAGATGGATGGATCTCTCATTAGAATCAATAACAAATATTTCCATTCTATTATTTTCTAGCTCTGAAATCAGTATTATAATCACGCGCCGCACAATGGCAGCCCACTGCTCCCCAAGGGGATGGGTTAAATGCAGTAATTTCCCACTAGGATTATTAGAGTACATAAAACAAAAAAATAAAAAATGGTAGGGCTGAAACAATTAATTGGATTAATGGTGATTAATCAATTACTGAAATAATCATCAACTAACTTAGTAATTCATTAATCGTTAAATTGAATGTAGAAGCTTTAAAATATGGTTTAGCGGACAGAACAACCCATTCAGAGCAATAATTATATCAAAATTATTTTAAAAAAATATATATAAATGTTTTGCATTTAAGATAAAAAACCTTTATCGTCTTTTAATGTGCTCAATATGCAGAACTCCTCAAGTGGAAAAGTTGAACCTGGTTTCATTTTGTAAAAAAAAAATAATCGACAGATTTATAGATTTGCAAAATAATCATTATTTGCAGCCTTAAATTATGGGATATCATGATTCTATGTGTCATAGCTAAATGCTTAAGAAGCACTTTATAATCTCTAAGCAACCCAGTTTATTTTAAGTCTGTGTTACACTACTTGGAATACACCTACAACCCATCTCCCAGTTTAGACACGCATGTGGGTGGCTTTGTGTCTGTGTGTGTGTCTTCTTCCGTGTATGTGTGTGGATGCTCCCATCATGTTTTCCCTCTGTCCCTGTATCACCAAAGAAGCTTAATATTTCTGTGCCATAAAGGATTTATGAAGACTTACTTCTGACATGACCACTAAAGCCTCGCGTTCTGGGGACGGCAACAATATCATAACCCCAGCCTCCGCTGGATTGTGACATCACAACATCAAAAAGATTCGTCCCGTCAGTCACGGCGCGTCACCACCAGCTCTAATGGCATTCCAGCCAAACCAGAAAATCCCTACTTAAGGGCTTACCGCCAAGCGCCCTGACAAAGGGAGAGAAATTGCTTTTTGCTGTTTAAAAGGCGGGAGGGGGGGAAGGAGAAAAGCTAAGCTGTTCAGAGAGGGGGAGGAAAAAAAACAGGAAAATAGTAAGGGGAAATTAAGAGAAAAGCCAAAAGCAATCGAGAAGAACAGATGAGAATGGAGAGAGGAAAACGAGCAGGAAAGGAGGAGACGCAGAAGGGGAACCAGATGTGACGCCAAACAATAAG